GTTGTGATATTTGGCTTTATCTTCTTGAGCTGATCTTTGAAATTTTCTGTTCAGCTCTTGGACCTCCTCATTTCTTCCATTTGCTTTAGTATCTCTCCATTGGCCTTATTTTCACTGATGATCTGGAGCTTTTCCATTGTCTCTTTCTCTAGATGTAGTCAATTTGATTTCTATGCATTCCACCTTGCAAGGTCCATGTGCATAGTCATCTTTTATGCAGTCTAAAGAAAGTATTTGAAATGAACAGATCATTGATTTTGCAGAATTCTATCACTCAGTCTCCAGCATCATTTCTATCACCAAGACCATATTTCCCAACTACTGATCCTTCCTCTTTGCTCCCAACCTTTGCGTTCCAATCACCAGTAATGATCAATACATCTTGAATGCATGTTTGGTGGATTTGAGATTGAAGAACTTGGTAGAATTCTTCTTTCATCTTCACCGTCTTTAGTGGTTAGTGCATAAAGTTGAATGATAGTGGTATTAACTGGGCTTCCCTGTAGGTACATGGATATTATCCTATCACAGACAGCATTGTACCTCATAACTGATCTGGATATATTCTTTTTGACAATGAATGCAACACCATTCCTCTTCAATTTGTCATTCCCAGAATAGTAAACCATATGGTTGTCAGATTCAAAATGGCCAATACCAGTTCATTTCAGCTCACTAATGCCTAATATATGGATGTTTATGTGTTCCATTTCATTTTTGACAACTTCCAATTTTCCCAGATTCATACTTAGTACATTCCATGTTCCAATTTTCAATGGATGTTTACAGCTGTTTCTTTTCATTTCAGTTGTACCCCATCAGCAAATGAAGTTCCCACGGGCTTTTCTCCCATGGGCTTTACTGCATTTGCGTCATCAGGGTCAGGTCTACTTAGAGGAAGCAGCTCTTCCGCAGTCGCATTTTGAGTGCCTTCCAAACTGAGGGGCTCATTTTTCGGCACTATATCTGACAGTGTTTCTCTGTTATTCAGGAGGGTTTCAGTGACGATACATTTGGAAGTAGTTCATCACTCTATTTTCCTAGTCTGTCTTCATGTGGAAGCTCAGCTGAAACCTGTCCTCCATGGGTGACCCTGCTGGTATTTAAATTACCAGTGGCATAGCTTTCAGAATCACAGCAACTCACAAGTCACCACAGTAAGACAAACTGACAGAAGAGTGGTGGCCATTTAACTTTAAATTTGGTGGAGATCTGTGCACATGCGTAGTAGAACCCTCCAGGGATGTGGGTGTGGTATCCATTTGCTCAGGCATCCCCTCTAGTCACAGACAGAGAGACCAATGAACAGATACCAAAACAGAACGTCCACACCTGTATCTCTGCGGTTCTGTCAGGGGAGCGTCTGTGGCTGTTCTGACCTCTCCCGCCCTAACTTGGTAGCTCCCCAGATAAAGACTCCCAGAATAGCTGAGCCTTTTAAGTTAGAAAGCAATGGATTTCTTGATTTTGCTACAAATTTCCCTAGCTGTAAGCCTTCCAGTCTTCTAAATATCCCTTTATTTGTGGTTCAGAGTTCTAGCACCATCCCCTGAGGCTGTTTGGTCTGGTATTCTGTGTTGTTGCTGACGGAGCTCCTCACTGCATGTGTACCCCATCTGCCATCTTGTTGCAGATATTGGAGGATATTCAAGATGCCCACATCAGAATGAATGCCAATTGAACACCAGTTCTGCTCTCCTCTCACACCAAGGAAGAGCCCGGAGGTCCTGGTGAATGCCAGGAAAGGAGAAAGCAGAAAGAAAGGGCCCCAGCCAGATACAGGAGGGCATTCATGAAGCCAGCTTCAGCTCCTAGGCAGGACTAGAGCCCAAGAGGGCAAGCCTGCCTGCTCTAGATGTGGCAAAGTTTACCAAGCAGAGAGGCAGGGAGGCCCAGGAAGGACTAGGGGATGCACCAGCCCCTCTGCTAGGATTAAGGAATCTGAGCAGGGAGTTTGGACATGAGGGACAAGGTGGGGGTGCCAGTGTGACCAGTGGGGGAAATAATGAGATAGCAGCAAGCTGGGAGGGGGGAGTCAGGGGTGGAGAGCAAGGAGGGGCAAGGGAAAGGGAGGGTCTGTGGGGTGGAGAGAGGAAAAGAGAAAGATAGGAGGGCTGGAGGGAGGAGAGAAGGAAGGGTGGAGAGGAGACAGCAAGTGATAAGAACTGTTAGGGTAGTGTTGAGGCCACAGCGGGAGCAGCGGGCATCTCTGCCTGGCCCACCCTGAGAGCAAGGCACTGCTATTCCACTGCTCTGGCCGCAGCTGAACCGCTCATGGGAACCATGAACTTGAACTGGCGCTTCCTGTACAGCGTGATGGGCATGCTGCAGATGCTGCAACTGCTGGTTGGGGCCGCCTTCATCATCCTCACAGCCAAGAGCGGGTTCCGTGGCCCTGTGTACTTTGCACTCTTCACGTCTGCATTCTTCTGCCTGACGACCCTGATCCTCTTATTCATTAGGCTGTTTGACAAATACTGGTGGCGGGTCAACTTTCTTCACGACTTGCTGGCGGCTGCGCTGTACATCGCCTTGATGGTCATCATGATCGACCAGACGCTGGGCCAAAGTTACTGCAACTTCGAGGGTAACCCGCAGCCCTGCGCCTACAATGTCTTTCTTGGGGCCGCTGTCTGCAGTGGACTTTGCATTGGCCTCTACTTGCTCTCAGCAAGGTTTTGATGCTGGGCTTAGGGCCAGTCTGAGGTGGTGTGAGGCTGCCAGCTAGCACAGCGGCCCAGACCACAGCAGCGGTCCCTCTGGAGAATCGTGCCCCAGTGCTTCCCGGTGATGTGCTTACCCTGAGTTTGTGTGCCCTGGCAAGCTCCTCATGCCTTGCGTTTCCGCTGCCTCTGACTCCCAGGAACCGAATCCAGACACGCAGCTCCGGCCTAACTGCTACCCCCAAGTCTAAAGCGGCGACCCCTAAGTCTTCTAAAGCGTTGCGACCCTTGCGTCCCCTCCACTGGCTCCGACAGGGCTGCAATTCGAAGGCGGACTCACCCCTTCAGACTGGCCCCCCCAGAGGAGAAATATCGTGGTTCCTTCTGCCCTGTGGTGAACTAGACCTGGACAAGCTCCTCACAGATACCGGGAGGCTTCCAAATTGGAAGCACCTCATGGCGGCGCCACCGAGCCGGCTCAGCCGGCATTAGAGCACTTCTTCTGGAGTTTCTTTCCATGGAGGGGAAGGAAGGCCGGTGTGTGTTGGCTGCTGAAGCTGGGGACAGGACTTGGCTGGTCTAGAGTGAGGAGTTTGGGATTATATGTTATTAATTCATTAGTCCCTCCTAGCACACCCCTTGGTGCTTCGATATCTCGTGATGGGGATCATCTGCAGACGTGCGGATGGACACGGACAGCCAATGGGCAGTACCTCTTGCACCTTTGGAGTCCTCTCTTACCTCTGCCTGGCCGGCCTTTTTTCAAACACATGTCACTAACTTCCTGCATTTAGTGATAGGAGCCCCTTCTCAGCCTTCCTCTCATAGGCATCTCTTTCATACAGGCCCTTAACTGCTATCTGTTTTCATTAAAGACTTTTCCCCAGGGCCTGAACCATCATGGAATGTTAGGGTAAGGACCCCAACCCTTCTTTTTGTAGATAGGAACCCCTGTCTTGCTCTTGGGAGCAGCCGGAACAATATTAGTTTGTTGTTGTTGTTAATTACCATCTAGTGGGTTCTGAACCATAGCGAACCTGTATGGGGTTTCCGGGGGCCACTAGTGGGTAAGCTTGAACCACAGACCTTGCAGTTCAGACGGCATTGCAGTCTGGCTCATTCTAAGATTGTGCAGCTCTGTTTACTTCATAGCAGTGGATGTACCTAGAACCCTGCCCCAGGAGATGCCTTCCTAAAGAGGGTTTAGATCAAACAGGATTGCCAATATAGCACCATTTCAAGACCAAAGGGTGCTGTATCTCCTCATCTTGGATATTTAAGGTGCTCCTTAGCATATCAAAGGCTCTGAGAAGTCACACTGTAAAAGCCACAGTATTAACTAACTTTGTTAATAGTATTAATTGTCTCTGGGCCTGGACCTGTTTTCGTAATTTAAGATTCCCAGCAGCCTGTGTTTCCCTGACCCAGCCCATTGGCATTGGTCTATGAAGATTGGGAAGTGTGTTTTGTTCCCAGAGACTTTCTCTAACTGAGGGTGACAGCCCTCCTACCAGGCCAGTGAGAAAGACCATACATGGAGACCTGGGATTTGGTGGATTTGAACATCCTTTTATACAACTTGGAGTCCTGGTGTAGCGCTGCAAGATACAGCACTGGACCACAAGGTTAGCTTGAACCACAAGGTCAGTGGTTCAAACTCGCCAGCTGCTCCTTGGAAACAGGGTCTCTACGTGTTGGAACCAAATCTACAGTACTTATCAACTATGACATTACACAACTTGGGATGGTTTCCCAGTCAAAAGGAACTTCACTTTGTAAGAGATCACCCAAGAGAGGAGGAGAATCTGGAGCTGGGGTGAGCAGCTGGCCAAGTCCCTGGATGGTAAGATACTTCCTGGTTTCCTGGAAGGGATCATAGAGCTTTGACCAAAAAACACAGAGCCCACTCATTTTCCAAAAGTTAAAAGGTCTTGATATAGACAATAAGTTAGAAGGCTAAAGTAGTTAACACAATATTTAGAAAGTTGTGAAATTCCATCTTTTGCTAGATCCTTAAAAGGTTTCTGCTCTTTGAAGAGGTCTCATCCTCTGGTTTAGAAACTGCAATAAAATATAACCATTGCTGTTGGGTCAATTCAGACTTATAGTGACTCTAGTAGCGCAGTGGTTACGAATCGGGCTGCAAACCTTAAGGTCAGCGGTTCGAAACTACCAGCCGCTCCGCGGGAGAAAGATGAGGCTTTCTACTCCCGTAAA